GGCAGGAAGGGCGGTGGGGGCTGGGGGGGAGGGTGACGGGGGGTGCAAGGAAGGCCGGTGGGTGCGTGAGAAGAAGCAGGTGCTGAGGGCTGTGGCGGGGCTCCCGGAGGAGGAGGAGGGAGGCTACTGGGTCCTTCCCTCCGGCCGCTGGGGGGCGGGGTAGGAGGTTCTCAGCCACGGCGGCGGCGCGGAGCATGATGGGAGAATCCCCCGAGCATCCAGCATGGCGGCCCCAGCGCCCGGCGCCGGGAGGAGCCGCAGCGGCTGCGGCCGGTGCAGGGGCGGGTGAGGCGGCGGCGGAGGAGGCGGAGGCGGCGATGGTGTCCCAGGCGGTGCAGCTGCTGCGGCAGGGCGTGTGGGCGGCGCTGACCGGCGGCTGGTACCACGACCCGGAGCAGAGCAAATTCACCAACAGCTGCCACCTCTATCTGTGGCTCTTCCTGCTGGCGCTGCCGCTCGCGCTGCACCTGGTGAGGGGCGAGCCCGGCCCGGGCGGCGCGGGGCCGGGGAGACCTGGGCACAGGATGGGGGTGAGGGTAGGGGAGAGCAGGGCCCTGCCTATGGGGAGGGGGCACAGGCCACGGTGAAGATGGATGGAGGAGGCAGGGCTGAGAGGCGGTCATAGGGACACAGGCCATGGGGTAGGGATGGAGGTGGGGGCAAGGAACGGAGGGTTGGAATTAGAGAGGGGAGGCAGAGAGAGGGAATGGGGGAGGGAAGTAGCTTGATATAGTTGGATGAATATTTTTTCTTGATGCTGTTTTTAAATCCCCCCCCCCTTTGCTATGTTTTATCCATTTTGATTGTATTGTGGGACAGTGTCTCCTGGTCAGTACCAGTTAAGTGCTGCCCTGTTGTTGTCAGACATAGTCAATTTCATGGTCTTCTGTACTGATACCATTTTGCTCTACTGAGATTTTTGAATGAATTTGCTGTCCTAGTGAAAGATGGATAAATAGTAATAAACATACTTTGTGTATATTTTAGTGGCTAATCCAGCTGCTCTTGAGAGGTGCATGCCAATTTTAATCCCACCCTTCCCCAGGGTACTATAATTTTGCCAGCAATACTTTCTGTGTTCATCCTGAAATATGGGTGAGCCTTTTAGGCCCAATAATCAAGTTGTTATGCAGGAAAGTACCGTACATGAGCAGTTAAGCTGGCACTCAATAACCAATGTGGCCAAATTATACTCTCACTTTCTCCCCCTCTGTTTAGAGACACAGATGCAACATAAATAGTGTGTGAAAGCACACCACTTTTCATTACATCCACTCCTCTACCTCTTTCTATTAAAGTGTGAGAAATGCAACTAAATTATAATTTAATGGATTGCAGTAACTAGGAGCTTCATTCTGTTTGCTAAATATGAATAGTTTCCTTGAAAAAAAAAAGAATCTTTTAGTGTATTCTTCGTGTGCTATCAATATGGGATGTAGACAGAAAGAGCAAGAGCATATTGTTAGGTAGAATAGTGCATGATTTTAGTATTAGGTTCCCCAATATCTAGCTTCTAATGTTTGCCATTCTTTATGTCCTCATGGCTGTAGACTCAACTCATTTCTGCAGATTTTTCTTTAATGAAGAAAAAACCTTTTCTGCCATATTAAACATTCCTCATCAGTCTCCTTACGCCCCATTATTACAAAGTCTATTGCCCTGATTTTCAGGACTTCCCTCTGAAGTCCATAGGAGATGCAGATGCTCATCTTTGAAAATCAGTCTGTATAGCTTATTTCCTGGCAAAGATGCCATTTGCTTCCACTGAGCATGCTCATGGACTCCATTCAGGTAACAATGTGAGGGTGGCTTCTTCCCAGGATGCCAGGTCAATTTCTGGTGTGAGACAGTAAGAGCTATAGATCCTATCTCTGTTATTTAGATTGCAATGGTAAATGAGAACTTGTTCACAGACTCTGATTTGTGGTGAAATAAAAGGTTGTTTCTTTCCCTGGGTGTACATAGAAATGGATCTGCAGGAAAATATGACTTTTCCTGGAGGATGTCGGAAACTAATCACATATGAAATAGAAAATAGAGGTGTTTAAAGAACATTGGGCCTAAAAACTGTGGAGTGAAACAAAGATGAAATAACGAAAATATTTAAAGTTGCGGGGGGGGTGTCGGTGGGAGAAGATCTAATTTATGTGCATGAACTAACTTCCCAATTCCCCGGCTTCTTCCTCATCTCTCCGGGTAGACTTGCCTTTTCCAGGTTGGCTAATTTTGTGATGAATCATCTGATCAGCTGCAGAAACTGTTCTTGAGCAAATGTACCATGATTAGGTTTCTTTATCCTCTATAAGAATATTATATTTATTACAGAGACTGTCTAGGAGTAATGATGTCCTTGACTATCACTTTTCTTGTTTTTGAGTGCTTGCATTTTGTAAACTTTATGACAGGTAGCTACATTTTTGTCATTTAGCAATCTTAACGCATTCTGAATTGATTTTTTTGTTTTGTTTTGGGAATCTTATGCAATGTTCAAGGTTAAAAATTACCAGTTACCTGCCAGTTTGGTATTTGTAGTTTCAGTGTGCGACAACCGTACTTTAAAATGAAATTGATCCTAAGAGCAGACAAAACAACTGGACTAACAGGAAAAAGCAGATGTTTTGTGATATGACAAATGGAAGACTTTTGTAGCACGCATATTGTAGTAGAACCCTGTTTATCCAATTTAATTGGGACTGGGGCCAGATCGGATAATCAAAAATTTGGATAATGAGGAGAATGCGTGGGCCTCAGGCTGTCAGCCCCGTGGGCAGTGGGGTTGACAGCCTGAGCCCTGCCACCCAATTCAGTTAATACGAAGAGCCAGATAATGGAGGCTCAGATAAATGGGGTTCTATTGTATTTCTATTCCTCACCCACATCCCCCCACAGATAAGTTTATTTTCACTCACATGTGGCACCTTGTCTTAAAATAAGATTGTGGGTGGAGATTTTCAAAAGTACAAATGGGAATTAGACACCCATCTCGCATTGATTTTTGGTGAGGGTTGGGTTCTTAACTTCCCTTTTGCTTTTGAAAATCTCCCTCATTAGCTGTTTAGGGGAGGGACTAGCTTTTACAGCACATTAGGCCCCCCTACCTAGTTCTAGGTTCTAGGGCTTAAGGAGGTCAGAGGCGGGACTGTGCGCTCCTGCCTTGCAGCTTCCCCTGGGGGCTGCAGCCAGGTCCACGTGCCCCAGCCCCGCGGGTTCCATCAAGGACTGCAGCTGGGGCTGCCCGCCCTAGCCCCTTGGTGGCCTGGGCTTGGCGGGGGCTACAGCCTGGGCTGCATGCCACAGCCCCGCAGCGTCCTGGGCTTGGCTGGGGCTGCAGCCATGGCTGTGTGCTCCAGCCCTGTGGCTTTCAACGGGGCCTGCAGCTGGGGCTACGCGCCCCTGTTTGGCGGCTGCACTGGGGGCCATTCACCCCCCTCATGGCTTCCTAGGGCTATGCATCCCCCCCACCCCAGCTGCAACTGGGGCTTGGCGGGAGCTGCAGCCGGGCCGCGCACCTCTGTCACGCAGCTGCAGCCAACTCTGGAACTGGGGATGTATGCCCCCCATGGCTGTGCCCCCCGCTGCGGCCACTGGCAGGGGGTTTGGTCTCTCAGTCCCCCCCTCCATGGTACTCCATTCTTTCCCCCCTCCCCAGACCTGTCCCTAGGTTATTTTTAGTAAAGTCATGGACAGGTCATGAGCTCGGTGAATTTTTGTTTATTGCCTGTGACCTGTCCGTGACTTTTACTAAAAATAACCGTGATAAAATCTTAGCCTTAATTATCACTACCAGAAAGAACAGATGGGTAAAGGTAGTAGTTCAGCCACCTTGAAGGTCTCAGCTGAGTTTAAGATTACCTTTTTGGAAATATCCTTTGCATGTTTAATTCTGTTTTTGCCAGTATATCTGTGAAATAAAAATCTGGCTCAGTCTTCCAAAGCACTCTCCAGTTCCAATTTAGAGATGGCCATGGCAAAATCTGGGGAAAATTGTCTTGCTTTTAACCAGATTAAAAGATATTTCTGTATGAAGATCTGAGGAGTTTAGGGATTTTGTAATATATGCCTACATGGATTAGCCACTTAATCTGATATCGGTTACTTTCATTCCCCTGCTTCGTGGTGTCTCTTGTATCTTCATTCATCTGTTTAGTGCAACATTTTTGATTGTAAATTCATCAGAATAGGGACTAGTCTTTATCTATGATGTGTCTAGTATGCCTGTGGGCTCTATAGAACAATAAATAATGGGAGAGGCAACCTTTCAATTCTAGGTGGCTGGCTTTAATCTGGCCCAGGTTAGTAAGGATCAAAAGTCACTAACATCTTAAGCCTTTTTGAAATTAGTTTGGTGATGCTTTCAGTTCATTTCCAAAGGGACACATGTCAGCATCACACAAAGTGTCACTAAACTGGTTTGAATTAATGCCATTGTGTTATGGAGTCACAGGTCCGATGCTCTGGAACTGCTTGGTATGAAGCCAGCCAGGACTCTGGGTAGCGTGACTCTCCTGAGGGCACGCTGTCCAGGGCAAAAAGTCTCCTCGCCTTCGGCCTTCCTGGTCTGACCTCGGAGTATTCAACATCCCTGTTCACACCTCACACTTCCCCTTGGTGAGGGAAGCCAGAGGGTCCTGCACCCCAACTCCGCAGTCATCAGTGCCTCTCAACCAGCATTGTAAAGCAGAAGGGTTTATTGGTCAACAGGAATACACACAAAGCTTGTTAGCACAGAAGTCCGTGACTTTCAACAGAGTCCATCTTGGGGGAACCCCGGGCCAGATGGCCTGGACTTCCCCCATCTCCAATCCCTCACAGCCGACTGCCCTGGATCCCCCTGCCTGGTCTCCGACATGTCCATCGTTCCTCGTCGTTTGTCCTGCTTCCCAGGCAAAAGGTGTCACCTGGTCGCATCCCCCTCCTGGATCTCAGGTTACAAAGGTCATTGGCCATCTCCTACATGCAGATCTCTGAACAGCCTCCCCTGCCCTGAAGGCCTCAGCAAAAGTCACGTACCCAATTCCTACTGCCTAGGTTTTGGTGCAATACAGAGGGAAACTGAGGTACACAAACCGTATTAGTATAGAACAGTAAGACTCACATGCAACATAACAAGGTGAATAAAACCCCACTTCGTCACACTTTGTTGGAAGTTTCAGCACTTAGGGTAGGTATTGAATAGGCACCTTCTCTAGAGGTGGTTTCTTCCAGAAGAAGGTTGAGAAACATTGAGAGCGTAGTACCATCCATACTGAACCTGTTGCATGAACTGAGGATTTCAGTCCATAACCCTGTCAGGACAGTACCTTTTGCTATCAATAGTTTTACTATCAAGAAAAACAAACCTGTACCTCAGTATCATGAGCAGCCTCCTAATTGTCCCTTTGTAATGGTTGGCTTGAGTTTAAACAATGAGCATTGAATAATTATTTGCAACATAACTAATATTGTAATCACCCTCCAAAATTATCATATT